GCAGGCCGACGCTCTATCCACTGAGCCAAACCGGTTTCGGCCCTACCCCGTTTTATCACGACAATTTTCAAACCCGCAGCAGCTTCGAAAACAATTTCCGCAAACACCCACCTACTCGCAACCCAGGTCTGTCGGCGACACGTTAACTCTCGTCGCGTATCACACATATCCGTGGACACCTATCTACTCCCGTCTTATTTTTTTTCTATTTATAGCTGGTGTCTGCAAGTTTCCATTGGCCCTAAAACTAGGTGAAACTTGAAGGCAAGATGGGTTGGTGTGGCAACAGAGTCAAAGTTGCGGGCCCGGGATAGTCTGTCCAAACTGCTTTTACCACATCCGCCCCGGGGGTTTCGCAAGCGGCAGGGTGGACCGAAGCCCGCCTCCCGGGGGCTCTCGGAGGGGCCAGTCGCTGCCAAGGGCGCCCCCCTCCCTCCTCCCGCTCCGCCCCCCGCCTGGCCTCTGCGCCGTCCGGCACCGTTTCCATCTGCTTCCCCTCCCCGCCTGCTCCGGCGTCTGCCATCTCCGACTGGGGCCAAGCATCTGACCGCAGAAGTTTCGGGACAGCAGGAAGCAGACAGAAACAGTCTGTCCCTGTCCCTTTAGTTCCCGTGGGGTACAGAACGCGGGCCAAGCACGGTCCAGGTTCCGCCACCCACCCCACTCCCCCAAGGCGGGCTTCTGGGCGACCCCACAGACCCCGAGCCCACAGGGCACACACAGGGCTTCCCTGGTGGGGGACCGGGCAGGCCCTGTGTGGCCCCGGGGCAACACCTCCCTCGGCTCCCGGAAGTCAAAGGCTTGGCAAGGGCCCGCAGGCGTCCTGTGCAGGTGAAATGACCATGAACATGCTCTCGTTTGTTCTTAAAACAAAACAAAAAAACACACACTAAAGCCTGAGCCGGTGTGGCTCAGTGGATAGAGCCGCGGCCTATGGACCAAAGGGTCCCCAGTTTGGTTCCCGGTGAGGGCTCATGCCCGGGTTGCAGGCTCAATCCCCAGGGTGAGGCGTGCAGGAGGCAGCCTGTCGATGATTCTCGCTCATCACTGATGTTTCTCTCTCTCTCTCTCACCCTCTCCCTTCTTCTCTGAAATCAATAATATATTTTTATTATCTTTTAAAAATATATATATATATATCTTAGTGATTTTTCACAGAGGAAGAGAGAAGGATAGAGAGCTAGAAACATCGATGAGAGAGACGTCGATCAGCTGCCTCCTGCACACCCCTCCACTGGGGATGCCCCCGCAACCAAGGTCCATGCCCTTGACCGGAATCGAACCCGGGACCCTTCAGTCCGCAGGCCGACGCTCTATCCACTGAGCCACACCGGTTTCGGCTCAATAACATATTTTAAAAAACTAAACGTAAGACAAGCACCAACCCTCCCTAACTTTCTGAAAAGCCCCACTCAGGCTCCTCATCTCCTCAGGGCACCCCGGGTGGCGGCCCCGGCCCCGCTCCCCCCTGCGTGTGACCTTCGTGGCGCTCGGACGCCTCCTGTCACAGTGCTCTCTCCCTCTGTCACCCCTTCCCCGGGGGCAGGGACGTGCTGCGTGCTCACCCTGGCCCGCCCGGCGCTGGCACCGGCGCCTGCCACTGGCCGGTGCTCAAGAAACGCTTGCGAAACGGCGTGTTGGCATCCCGGTGTGGGCAACGCGGGTCTGCGCCCACAGACCTCAGCGCCTGGGTTCGCCGTGCCCCCCCCTCCCCCCGTCACCCTCCACCTCACGCTTTGCAATGTCACCGCATTCCCCCAAAGGTGTGGCTCAGTGCTTGAGCATCGACCTATGACCCAGGAGGTCACGGTTCGACTCCCGATCAGGGCACAGGCCCGGGTTGCGAGCTCAATCCCCAGTGTGGGGCATGCAGGAGGCAGCCGATCAATGCTTCTCTCTCATCACTGATGTTTCTCTCTCCCTCCTCCCTTCCTCTCTGAAATTAATAATATATATATATATATATATATATATATATATATATATATATTTTTTTTTTTTTTTTTTTTTTTTTTTTTTTTTTTAAAGAAGTTTTGGGCCGAAACCGGTTTGGCTCAGTGGATAGAGCGTCGACCTGCAGACTGAGGGGTTCCGGGTTCAATTCCGGCCAAGGGCATGTACCTTGGCTGTGGGCACATCCCCAGTAGGGGATGTGCAAGAGGCAGCTGATCGATGATTCTCTCTCATCGATGTTTCTAGCTCTCTATCTCTCTCCCTTCCTCTCTGTAAAAACTTAATAAAATATATTTTTAAAAAATAAGAAATAAAAGGAGTTTCGGGTGCCAGCTGTGCACCAGGCCGGGTCCTGAGGGCACAGAGACGAAGCAGCCTTTGGAGCGTTCCTGATACGGGCACAGGTGGCCAAGGCCCGCCCGGGGACCGGGGCCGCGGCCCTAGCACGCCCTCCTCCTCTCTCCCCCCAGGTTCCAGAAGCTGGAGAACAAGGTGAAGGAGCAGGAGCACTGGGCGCGGCTGCGGAGGTACTCCATCCTTCTGCAGAGAGAGAACGTCCGGAAGTGACGGCTCCCGGGTCCTGGGGGAGGCGTGGGGGGCAGCAGGCGGGCTGGCTTCGCCCAGGAGGCCCCGAGGTGGAGAGACTCAAAGGGCGACAAAGGGCTGCGGCTCAGGAGGTCCGAGGGGCCTGCAAACTGCAGTCCGGGCCCCCCCCCCCGCACAGCCAGCAGGGGGAGAGGGACTATTTGGGGGGGTTTCAATCACTATGGATTTTCAGAGCCCGCAGGCAGACAGCTGTGTCCTCCAAATAAACAGTGATATTGTTTCCAGATTCCAGAATTATGTCTGTGTGTGTGTGGGGGGGGGTACAGCCCTTTGCACCCACCCAGTCCCAACCAAGCCAGGCCCAGGACAGTCCCTGCTGAATGACCAAGACACCAGCCCCCCCCCCCAGCTGCTGTGTGCCCCCCTTTTCCTCCACCCGCTTCTCTCCCCACTAACGTCATGGAACCGCCTTGGAGAGAGAGGTGACTGCTGGGGACACACAGGCGTGAGAGGCAGAGGTGCCAGGCGAGGTGGCAGGCAGGCACCGTGCCATGCTGCTGCCCCTTGCCTGCTGGCCCAGGACCCGGGAGGCACAGGAGAGGGGCAAAGGGGCACCTTTCTCTTCTCTGAGAAACTGGCCTTCCCAGGAAAGCTGGATTCAGGGTGCCCACAGCGCAAGGGCTACGCCCGGCTCTCTGAGGACACCATGTGGTGCCTCTGAGAACTGCAGGGGTTCAGGAGTCCCAGTCTCCCCGTGATAATCTGCCCACTGACTGCAAGCAGGTTGGTTTTTAAAAAATATACATATTTGTATTTATTTCAGAGAGCAAGAGAGAAATAGGACATTAATAATGAGAGAGAATCATCAACCAGCTGCTTCCTGCACGTCCCCTACTAGGGATGTGCCCGCCACCAAGGTACATGCCCTTGACCAGAATCGAACCCGGGACCCTTCAGTCCACAGGCTGATGCTCTATCCACTGAGCCACACCGGTTTCGGCTAAAAATATATATATATTTTTTAAAAAACAGCAACACTGGCCCATCCAGCACCAGCATCTACACGGCACAGCTGTCCCAGCGGAAACATGGGGTCAACACTCAGAAGCACGTTGCCTGCCCATGTGCACCAGGACCTTTATTTTACACCCGATACACACGTAGGCATGCACGCACGCACACTTGCCCGCCAGGGCTGTGCCAAAGACCGGATTCGGCATCTACCTCCCATCCTCCTCCCCACCCCAAACGCCACGTACTGCTTTGGTGAAAAATCCCATAACCTTCCTCATCCTGATCTGTGAAATAGCGCACCTCATCTGCCTCCCCCCCTCTCCCCGCCCCCCCCCCCCCGCCGGCTCTGAGGCTAAAAGGACTTGAAATTAGAATGAGCCGGTGGTTCCATGTCCCACGCACAGCACCTGGCTTCTCCGTCACGTGAGTTGGAACCCGTCAGGCTGCGCACGCGCTGTGAGGTGGTGACCAGAGTCAGCAGGCGGGCTGGGCGGCGCCCGTGCTGATGCTGCCTCTGTCTCTGTCTCTGTCTGTCTCTCTCTCTCTCTCTCTCTCTCTCTCTCTCTCTCTCACCGTCCAGACCAGGGCACCCTCCCAGGGCCGTGGTGAGTGAGCCGAGCCGCCAGCCAGCTCTCTGTCCTTGAGACAGGCTGGTGCCCCTGGGAGTAAACACAAGCTCTGGAGCAGGCATCTTCAAACTACGGCCCGCGGGCCACATGCGGCCCCGCAGAGGAGTCTGATCCGGCCTGCCAGGTTTTTTGGGCAGTGAGCGCAGCCGAGGTGTTACAGTAGGAATTAGTAGTTCATATAGTCCGGCCCTCCAGTTCTCTGAGGGACCGTGATCTGGCCCCCACTTTAAAAAGTTTGAGGACGCCTGCTCTGGAGTCACATCTGGGGCCCAATCCCAAGGCCATCACTGAACATCTGTGTCAGCATGATATCAGATAGCCTCTTTTTTTATATAATATATTTTATTGATTTTTTACAGAGAGGAAGGGAGAGAGAGAGTTAGAAACATCAATGAGAGAGAGTCATCGATCAGCTGCCTCTTGCACACCCTCTCCTGGGGATATGCCCGCAACCAAGGTCCATGCCCTTGACCGGAATCGAACCTGGGACTTTTAAGTCCGCAGACAGACGCTCTATCCACTGAGCCAAACTGGTTTCAGCTCTTACTGTACTTTTTTAAAGGCTATTTATTTACTTAATGTATATATATATATATTTTTAATTGATTTTTTACAGAGAGGAAGAGAGAAGGATAGAGAGTTAGAAACATCGATGAGAGAGAATCATCGATCAGCTGCCTCCTGCACACCCTCTACTGGGGATGTGCCCGAAACCAAGAATCAAACCTGGGACCCTTGAGTCCGTAGGCCGACGCTCTATCCACTGAGCCACACTGGTTTCGGCAACATGGCCCTTTAGCTAGGGCTCCCCTCGCAGATGAGCTGAGCAATGAGAGCGTGTGACCACGGCTCGCCTACCTGGGCACACTGGTGACTGTCCTGTCCCTCTGATCAGGCATCGGGGCTTCCTTCTGCCGGTTCCGGGCGGCTGGCCCAGGAAGGGGTGGGGAGGATGAGCGGTGGGAGGCGATCCGTCTCATTAGCAGAGCCCTGTTAATGAGAGCCACACTCAGGCGCTAATAAGCGGCGGGAGGCCCCCAGCGCCCCTCGGGGGCGGCAGAGGCCCTCGGCGGGGGAGGGGCCAGCCAACAAGCCCCACTTAGCTGTGAAAAGACTTGCTAATAACTTTAATTCCCCCTCCTGCCCAGCGGGGCCTTTGCCATGCAAATAGACTTTCTAAACCGGGTAAGGATCCTATAGAAAATGTCCCCACCTTCCACCCAGCTTAGGGTCCTGGGAGGGGAGAGTGATTGTGGGGTGGAGGTGAGGGAAAGGGGGTCTCACCCCCCACCACAGCAGGGCAGGGCCTTTGCTTTGGGATCCCGCTCTCTGAAGACACCCCCTGAAATGCAGGACAGGGACCCCCGCACCCCACTGTGAATGACTGCCTGCCTCCGGTGGCCTGAGCCGGAGCAAGACAAACCCATGGACACCAACAGGTCAACAAACTGTGGTCTCTATAAACACAACGGGATTTGTATTTATACAAATCTAGGGCCGTGGTCGGCAAACGGCGGCTCGCGAGCCACACGCGGCTCTCTGGCCCCTTGCGTGTGGCTCTTCCACAAAATACCACGGCCTTCGCGAGTCTGTGCTGAAGAAGTTGCGCGAGAAGATGTTTAAGTTTAGAAAATGGGGCCCTCCAAAGACATTCCAATCGTCGTGCTGTGGATAGTTGGCTCTGTGGACGAATGAGTTTGCCGACCACTGGTCCTAAGGAGGGAGACGCAGAAAACGGGGGGGGGGGGGGGGACCTTGGACACCGCACGCTAAGTGAAAAAAGCCAGACAGAACAGGTCCCATATCCTACGGGCCACTCATATGAAATGTTCAGAACAGGCAACTCTATAGACAGGAAGTAGAGGCTGAGCTGGGCTGGGGTGCAGCAGAATAGAGGGGAGTGACTGCTCATGGATACAGGTTTTTGTTTTGATTGAATTTATTGGGGTGGCACTGGCTAATAAAATCATACAGGTTTCACAGTTCCCTTCTGGGAGGGGGTGTGATGAAATGTTCTAAAATCAGTGATGATAGCATGATAGCCCTAGCCGGTTTGGCTCAGTGGATAGAGCATCAGCCTGCGGACTGAAAGGTCCCGGGTTCGATTCCCGACAAGGGCATGTACCTTGGTTGCGGGCACATCCCCAGTAGGGGGTGTGCAAGAGGCAGCTGATCAGTGATTCTCTCTCATCATTGATGTTTCTACCTTTCTCTTCTTCTCCCTAATCAATAAAAAAATATATTTTTAACAAATTAGTGGTGATGGCTGTATAACTCCCTATTTTAAAATCATTCTAATATACTTTAAGGGGTGAACTTTTTATGGCTCGCAAATTACATCTCATTAAAGAGCTTATGAAAAGCAAATACCAAGTCCTGTGTTTCAAAGAAGGCTGAGGGGGTGCAGGGGAGAGATAGATGTCCAGAGGGCTGAGGGACCCTTGGACAGACGCTCTGTCCCTTGTCCACCTCACCTGCCAGGGCTGACTGCTCACCGGACCCCCCTGGCCCAGGCCAGGCTCCTGGCCTCAAGCCTCCCCCCACACACACACCCCTTCCCTAATCTGAGTCCAGCTAACGTGGACAGGGGTGAATGCAGTTAGATGGGCCTGGCTTCAGCCTAGGCCACTGGGGGGTCAAGGTTCCATAAACTCAGGATTGGCTCGCCGTTATTTTGTCCCTAAGCCACGTGGGAGTGAAGGAAGATGGGAAAACCCCAGAGTCCAGGATGCTCCAGCACAAGGGGGATATAGGGCTGGGACATGGGAAATGGCCTCCTGGAGCCAGTGTCCCCCAAGTCCCGGAATGAATGGAGCTGACAAAATCCTAGCAGCGCTGGAGGGTTGACCCTGAGTCTAGGCTTCTGCAAAGTGGTTACTTTGGTATAAAATGTGTAAAGGACCCGATGCAGTAAGCACTCATGGATGGAGGTGTATAATCTAGAGATCCTTGGGTTTATGCCAGCCCCCTCCCCCTCCCCCAGGTTCAAAGAAAAGATGGACAGATTCATTTCCTCCCACTTTCCCGGATGAAGCGCCTGCCAGTTGGAGGCTGACCCGACCGTCTGAACAAGAGGTGCTGGGGGCAAGGAAGAGGAGTCTGGCCTACAAGAAACCCAGCTCTCCTATGCGCTCTGGAGGAGAGGGCGGGAGCTTTGCATCCACGTAAAAAAAAAAAAAAAAGAAATTGCCAACTGACACCAGCACAGTTTATTCACAAATAAATAAATAGACCCTAGGCACAGCCTCCCGCCTGCCTCAAGGCGTCCTCTGCGGGTCCCATCGCGGCAGGGGCTGGGGAAGGTCGTCGGGGCGGGACAGGCTCTCACCCGCAGGCATGCCCTTGCCAGCCTGGCCGCCGCCCTCCGCCGCGGGAGGGGCCTGGACGGGGCGCCCTCCGAAGGTGCACAGACCGCGGTGCTCACGGTAGACAGGCCGCCGGCTGGCCGCCGCCACGTCAACTGCTCAGGCCGGGGGGCCACTCCAGGGGCGAGGCGGGCATCCAGGCCTCCAGCTGGGCCAGCACGTGGCCAGGGAAGAGCTGTGGGGGGAGAGGGGACGGCGTGACCCTCAGAGGACCCTGACCCGGCTTGGAGGCTCCGGAGAGCCAGCGGGGGGGCCGGGCTGCGCGGACACGGAGGGGCGCCCACACGACGGCGGGGACAGGAGACACTAACCGGAGACGAGGGCCCCGGCTGCACCGCAAACCCTTCGGGGCGCGCTGCCTCCTCGTACAGCGCGGGCGCGGGCACCTCCGCGGCTCCAGGACCGGCGGGCGCGGGCCCCCAAGACCCCACGGCGGGGGCGGCGGCGCCCAGGCCGTGCGCATGCGCGTGCGTCTCCGCGTGCGCGTGCGCAGAGCCGCCGTCGGGGCAGAGCGGGCAGCCCCGACGGGCCGCCGCGTCGCCGCTGCTGCTGCTCCGGGGCCGCGGGCGCCGGCACCGCCGCAGGCTGTCCTCGCTGAGGCCCAGCACGGCCGACAGGTGGGCGATGTAGCGGATGGCCAGGCGCAGCGTCTCGATCTTGGTGAGGCTCTGGCCGGCGGGCGCCACGGACGGCGGCAGGAAGCGGCGCAGCTCGTGCAGCGCGCGGGCCAGCGTGCGCATGCGCAGCTTCTCGCGCTCGCTGGCGCTCTGCCGCTGCCCGCCGCCCAGGCGGCCGCCGCGCCTCCCGGCTCGAGGGCCGCGCGGGGCCGTGCGGGCGCCGGGGCGCCGGGGGCTGGGCGCGGGGCTGCCGGCCGGGGCGCTGCCCCAGGAGCTCGGGGAGGATGCCGGGGAGCAGCAGCAGCGGCCCCGATCGGCGGGCGGAGGAGGCTGAGCGGCGCCCCAGCCCGCGGGGAAGATCCAGGGCTCGGAGAGCGCGGGGCACAGGGGCTGGGCCATAGCAGCAGCAGCAGCAGCAGCAGCAGCAGCAGCAGCAGCAGCAGCAGCGGCGCGGTCTCGGGAGGGAAGGCGGCCGGCGACCTTTTTATCCCCTAGGCGAGCGCTCTATCCGGAGCCCGAGGTGTGAAGTGGCCCCTTCCAGGCTCCATCAGCACTTCAAAGCGGCTCGAGGCCCGGGGGGGCGGGGCCCGAACCTTTGAACCGACGGGGGGGCCCGCGAAGGTGCTGGCCGCTTGGCTGCACCAGGTTGGCCCCACCTGAGCCATAGCTGGGCACCAGTTCCTGCCCCTCGGGCCTCCTGCCTGCGCCCAGCCCTGGGTGTTGGGCCAGCTCAGCGGGGAAAAGGAAGCAGGATCACAGGCCTGGAAGCCCAGGACCTAGATCTCGGGCTGTCTTCACCTGTTGGGGACCTTATGCAAAGAAATGAATTTTCTTGCACCTTTGTTGCCGATTTGTATAATGGGACCCTAGGGGCCTGCTGCATCCAGGTCTGCACCAGCGAGGGCCTGGGAGTGAGGCCCCGATTCCTGCTGGAGGTGAGGGGAACAGCAATCCATTCCTCCTCCAAGGCTGGTGGTCTGGATGCTCCAAGCTGGCTGCATCTGGTCAGGTTGCTGGACCATCTGGGCTGAGGGAGGGGTGAGCCTGTGGCCCTGCAGGACACCCTTAGCCTGAGAGCCTTGGGGTTTGGCCTGTTGTCCCCTCTGGCTGGTGTCACTCTGGGGCAGGTGTGACAAGCTTTGCCGTGGAAATGACACATCAAAAAACATCTTATATCTGACACAATCCCATACCCCGTCACAATAAAACATCTCAGCAAACGAGGCATAGAGGGGAACTTTCTCAACCGGCTAAAAGGCATCTACAGCCCTAGCTGGGTTTGCTCAGTGGATAGAGCCTCGGCCTGCAGACAGAAGCATCCTGGGTTCGATTCGGGTCAAGGGCACATGCCCGGGGTTGCAGGCTCGATCCTCAGTGGGATGCATGCAGGAAGCAGCTGATCAATGATTCCTACCATTGATATTTCAATCTCTCCCTCTCTGAAACCAATAAAAACATCTAAAAACGAAAACCCAAAAAACAAAAGGCATCTACAAAGAACATACAGCTGACATCACATTAAATAGTGAAAGACTGGCCGGAACCGGTTTGGCTAGTGGATAGAGCGTCGGCCTGTGGACTGAAGGGTCCCGGGTTCGATTCCAGTCAAGGGCATGTACCTTGGTTGTGGGCACATCCTCAGTAGGGGGTGTGCAAGAGGCAGCTGATCGATGATTCTCTCTCATAGATGTTTCTAACTATCCCTCTCTCTTCCTCTCTGTAAAAAATAAATAAATAAATAAAATATATTTTAAACATAAATAAATAAATAGTGAAAGACTGAAAGCTTTTCCCCTAATAGTGAGAAAAGGATGTCTGATCCTACCCACACCTATTCAGCACCTTCCTGGGGGGTCTGGCTTGTGCAATAAGAAAAAAACAAGCCCTAGCCGGTTTGGTTCAGGGGATAGAGCCTTGGCCTGTGGACTTAAGGGTCCCGGGTTCGATTCTGGCCAAGGGCGCATGCCCGGATTTCGGCTCGAACCCCAGTAGGGGGTGTGCAGGAGGCAACCGATCAATGATTCTCTCTCATCATTGATGTTTCTATCTCTCCCTTCCTCTCTGAAATCAATAAAGAAATATATTTTAAAAAACACAGAAAAAATGAAAGGCAAGATGGTCTGTATTTACAGACAACAGGACTGTCACACAGAAGATCTCACAGAGGATTTATCTATATGGCCTACCTGACCGCTCGGGCTGGCGTCAGCACCTGTCCTAACAGCTGCTTCATTCATGATGCCCTCCAGCCGGGCTGGGCCGCTCTTGGTGCCTGGCTTCATGTCTTTGAGAAAAGATCTACTGTTTGCATCCTCCACGGCTTCCAGCCTCAGGGGACTGGAGGGTGAGCTGGCAGGAAAGAAAGAAAACCAGCTTGGAACCTTCTCCCCTGGCATCTCAGCCCACCGCTGCCCTCCCCTTGTCTTTGTCTATGCAATGACCTCCTCTGGCAGCTTCTGTAACCCACGCTGGCAGTCTGTCTCAGAATGCTTGTGCCCAGTCACAGCCAGGAGAGGCAGTGCCAACCTGCCTGGGGGCACAGGGCAGGCCCCATATACTCCCAAGGAGAGCCTGGCCCCTCAGCCTGCAGCCGTCAGCAGGGTCTGCCCTCCTGGACTGGACTGATGGATGCCTTCTCTCTCTCTTTCTCTCTTTTAAAATCAGTAAAAAAATATATTTTTTAAAGTTTTTTAACTCTCTAAAATGGTTGTGACACCTATGGTCCTTTTTTTCTTTAATTTTTCTTTTATTGATTTTTTTACAGAGAGGAAGGAAGAGGGATAGAGAGCCGAGGTACAGGTCCTTGACTGGAATCGAACCTGGGACCTTTCAGTCTGCAGGCTGACGCTCCATCCACTGAGTCAAACCGGTTTTGGCCTAGTCCTACTTTCCAAACTGTTCTTCATTCATATATGCACACAGAAACATGTAGTCACAGAAAACTCACACATGGTAACCTGTGAAAGTCTTATTCTGTTAGTAAATTATAAATATAGAATGATAATAATAATAATAATAATAATAAAAAGACCCAGGGGTGAGTGTGGAGACGAAGAGCCCCCCAAATGGCATGCAAGAGGCAGGGTCGCTGAAACCGGTTTGGCTCAGTGGATAGAGCGTCAGCCTGCGGACTGAAGGGTCCCCGGTTCGATTCCGGTCAAGGGCATGTACCTTGGTTGTGGGCACATCTCCAGTGGGGGGTGTGCAAGAGGCAGCTGATCGATGATTCTCTCTCATTGATGTTTCTAACTTTTTCTCTTCCTCTCTGTAAAAAAATCAATAAAAAAAAGAGGCAGTGCCTTCAGCCCTAAATGCTAACAAACTGGAGATGCTACGTGGGAGACCCTCCCTCTTCTGCTGCCCCTGGAGTCTCTGGGCCCAGACTGTGGTCAGTCGGCCTGATGGAGCCCAGTGGGGGCACAGGAGGGACCCCCAATCTGGAGCCAGCCCCCGTCTTCCCTTCCCCATGCCTGTCACCTTTGATGTCCTTATCGCCAGCCAGCTCTGGTGGGTTCATTTGGGCGCTGCCCGAGTTAATGAGTTCTCCGGGCGGCAGGGCCCACACGCCCCCCCGCTGGGGTGAGGACTTCACACCTCGGGGGGCCTGTGTTTTGACAAGTGCCTGGCCCGGTGGCTCCCGCTCCCCTGCCCGAGCCTGCCCTCGCTCCCCAAAGTGTAAGGCTGGGAAATGAGGTCTGGGGGCAGCCCCACTGAGCAGAGGTGAGAGTTCGGTGGGGTGGGGGGCAGGACGGGGCAGCACCCCCATAGGCCTCGGCCTTCCTGCTAGGAACCAGCCGGTCTCTCAGGCCGAGCGGGATCTGGGGCGCTGCCCCCTCTCCCATCTCCCAGCATCAGCGCCATCGTCTCCCCGGCAGCCCCCTGACATGCGGGTGCTAATCAGAGGTGCGATGTCGACCTGCCCCTGGCTGCCCTTCATTCCTGTCCCGGCTGGAGCCGGAGCCCCGGGGGAAGGAAGCAGGCGCCCCCTGGGAAGCTCCTAATTTGGGGGTCCCCTACTGCCAGGGACCCTCCAGCCTTACCGCTTATGAAGCCCCCTCCTTCAGACAGCCTAGGATGGTGGTCTGTAAACTCATTAGTCAACAGAGCCAAATAGCAACAGGACGGCTGACATTTCTTTGGAGAGCCGAAAACCGACTTCTGCGCATGGGCCGCAAGTTTCAATTGCACTGTGCGTGGTATTTTGTGGAAGAGCCACACTCAAGGGGCCAAAGAGCCGCAGGTGGCTCTCGAGCCGCGGTTTGCCGACCACTGGCCTAGGACACCCTCTGGAGTGTGGACAGCGTGAGCCAGGTCCTATGTCCTACCCGTGTCACTCCCTGTCTGTCTGACCCCAGCTCCTGCTTCTGTGCCTCGGGGGTGTGTGTGTGTGGGGGGGCGCCCACTGTGGCCAGGATCCAATCACACCCCCCAGACATGCTTCGTGCAGCACCCATGTGCCTGAGCTCGGCTGGGTCACGGCTCACAGCCGTGCTGAGACGCAGGTGCTACTGACTCGGTTGAGGAGGCGACCGAGTGGCGAGAGGCTGCCCCCGTCACGTGGCTACAGAGCGGGGGTCCATCCGGCTCTGTCTGGGGCCACCTCTGAGTCTGGGGTCTCCATGGCTCCTTTCCTCCAGGGGGGCTGCCCTGAGAGCGAGGGTGCCAGGCGGGGTGGTGCCCTCAAGCCGCCCGGATGCCGCTCCGTGCCAAAGGGGCCTGTGGACAGGAGGAAGAGAGAGGTGTCCAGGCCCACCCTGGGCCTCCGGCACCAGAGCCCGAGGACGGAGCCAGACAGTCCCGGTCTGAAGAGTAAAGTCTCCCAGACTTTATTTTTTTTAAATGTATTTTATTGAGTTTTTACAGAGAGGAAGAGAAAGGGATAGAGAGCTAGAAATATCGATGAGAGAGAAACATCAATCAGCTGCCTCTCCCACAACCCCTACTGGGGATGTGCCTGCATGCCCTTGACCGGAATCGAACCCGGGACCCCTCAGTCTGCAGGCCTACGCTCTATCCGCTGAGCCACACTGGTTTCGGCAGGCCTCCCAGACTTCAGTGAGGCTCCCCCCAGCGCAGAGCGGGGAAGAGGCCCCGGAGTGCCTGTCCCCCCGCCCCCACCCATGGGTCCAAAGCAGATGCATGAGGATGAGCTTAGGCTGGAGGGGGGCTGAGGCCGCCTGGAGCCCAGAGCAGTCAGAGGGCCCAGCACGAGACTCCCAGCTCCTCCTCCTCCTCCTCCTCCTCCTCCTCCTTCCCCAGCAGCCTCCCCGCTCCAGCCCGAGGCTCCCAGGAAGCCCCCTTCCAACTGGGATCGCCCCCTCGCCTCACACCTCTGGCTCCCGGAGCCACTGAGCTGGCGGGCCATATGGAATAGATTATTCTGGAAGCACGATAATCTGATTATCCTGGCCGTGGATCAGCTGGATATGCAGCCAGCGGGAGTCACAGGAGGCCGAGGGGTGATGAGGAGGGAGGGGGTGGGAAGAAAGGGGAGAGATTAAGGATCAAGAGGAGCGCTGGGAGCCGGCTGAGAACAGGCCCAGCAGACCCTGCCTCTGCCCTTGCGGGGGGGTGGAGGGGGGTGTCACACGCTGCTCCTTTGCTTCATCCGGGTACACGGAGGGGGAATCTGAGCTTTGCAGTGAAAGGTGGGGAAACTGAGGCATGAAGTAGCCTCCGTTTCTCCGACTGTAAAATGCAGCAGGGCCTCCCGAGTGCCTGCCCAGATGTGCTGGGAGCTCTGCACGTTTGGTGAGAAAGTGTTGGTCTCAGTCTCAGGCCACAGTGCGCACCTGGAGTCACGCACACAGCACACAGTACACAGCAGGGATTGGTGTACAGCACATGTGTCAAACACAAGGCCCGCGGGCCAAATCCGTCCCGCCAGGCCTTGCAATGTGGCCCGCACCGCGCTGTCATCACTGCACTCCGCTGCGTTTCCATCACAATGACAGTTTATGACTGTTCAGTAAACCATTCGGCCCGCGATTTAGGCTGGATTTTAGATTTTGGCCCCTTCTCTGATTGAGTTCGACACCCCTAGTGTACAGGATGCTGCGCCCTTGCACTTCCAGCCGCAGCCAGCAGAGGGCGCTGCCAGCCAGCTGGGATCTTAGGATGCGGAAAAGGCACACCTACCTCGGACCAGTCAGCGGCCTTTCTCCTGGAGCGAGGGCCAGTGCCGGGTGGGAGTGGCGGGCACGGGGTGCCAGAGGTGCCGGGCTGGCTTAAGAAGTGGGTGAAGCTGGCTCAGCGCCGGAGAGATGGGATCTGGGACCCCGACAGGCCACTTGCCTTTTCTGGACCCGTTTGCTCATCCATCCGAGAGGCAGAGTGAGATGGAGCCTAGAGGGGAAGGGGGGGAAGGGGACTGGCTCAGAAGGGCAGGGGACA